ACTGTAACCCTTTCGGAATCCTGCCTGCTCTACCGGTTGATAGCTATCGAGCTTCGACTTAACCTGTTAGTTATTACTCTCATAAACAGTTTGTACATTTGGGACAGCAGGGAGATTGGCCTATAGTTCTTCAGATCTCCCCTGTCTCCCTTTTTGAAGAGAAGTATTGTCAAACTTTCATTCCAATCATCTGGGACTTCTCCTCTGTGAAGACATTCGTTGAAAAATTTTTCAATTCTTCGAGAATAATTTCACTCCCCTCCTTCAACATTTCTACAAGTATTCCATCTGGGCCCGGAGCCTTATTGTTCTTTAGTTGTGCCATAGCTTGTTTTATTTCGAAGGATTCTATGTTAGGGAGTATTTCTGAGTTGACATTCGTTATCTTTCTCTTCAGATTTTCCTTTGCAGTGTTATCAGGGTTTTTGTTTCAGGAATATAAATCACGGTAAAATGTTTGAGTAACAAAAAGAGAAATCAAACGATGTCTACCTGGCGAAATCGAATTTAAATTTTAACCACTGTGCTTTCTAAAACTTGCAAAGCAAACAGATTGATAAATAACTCGGCAAAGGAATGTAAGATTACATTCCACCTGCCGTTTATCATGGTCAAAATTCGTAGTAAACTCAATTTCTGGTACTCCAAACGGAGTAGACTACTAGAGAAAGACGGTACTAGAGTTTTGTTTCAATAGAGAGCGGCGGCAAGCCGCATATAATTCTAAGACGGGAATTGATTTTGTTTCTTTCCAGTGAGGTGGCTATACCGCTCTGACGACACCTAAAGAGGTCGAAATACGTATAAGCGGCTTGCCGCCGCTCTGTATTGAAACAAAAATCTAGTAGCGTCTTTATATTTTTTTTGTTTGTGTAACTTTTAGGATTTCATTCTTTTCTCTTATTTCTTTTTCATCTTTATCCTTCAATGAGATTATTATAGGCTTTCCTAAGTTTGATCTTAAGCATTTCAGGCCTCGGTTCTTTTCTATTATTTTTTCTACCTTGTTTTCATTATAGATCCTTAAATCTTCCTTTACTCCCTTCTTTATTTGTTTATTCAATTCTTTGAAACCATTGGTGTTTCGCTTTCCTTCGCTTAGAAATGTGCGTCTCTTTTCCATCAACCGTTTTGTTCCATCATTTATTCTGTCTTCTTTATTTTTCGTTTTCTTTGCATGCAACAGCCAGTCCTGCTTTCAAGAGCTTTCGTTGCATTTCGTTATTAATTGAGTTCATGTCGGAGTATTCTTGTTGATAATGTTCTACAAATTCTTTTCTTAAGACTTCTCTGTATTCACCTCCCTTCTGTCGTATTTTAGTGTGATCTAACTGATCACAATAATTATGTGTCCTGTTTCTACTGATTTTTGTCTGTTTAATATGAATTCTTGTTCTTAAAAGGCGATGATCACTGCTAGTTCTGAATCGATTAAGAACAGTTATATCTTCAAAATGTCTTTGTTTCCACACAAGAAGTAATCGATCTCGTTTTTCGTTTATCGGGAGATATCCACGTTCATTTTTGGTTTGCTGGTTTCTTGAAGTGTCTGTTCATGGCATATAAATTTTGTTGTTCTAAGAAGTTAAATTATGTTTCTCCTCTTTCATTTCGTGTGCCATAACCATGTATCCCTATTTTATAAAGGACTGTTGTTATTTTTCTCTAAACTTTACAGTTTATAAGCGCTTTAAAATCTAAACAATGCAAAAGTACGCATTTTCGAGGCTTGAAAACTCATAAACTATACATATACGTTTTTTATTCAGAGTTTTTAGGCATATTTCAAATGCCTTACGTTTGTTATTGTCAAAGTTCAGAACCGAATTTTTAGTCTAGATGATTTTTGAAATTTTTTTAGAAAAATTTTAAACAATTTATGCCCAAAAATATCGCCCGTTACTCTTCAGGTTTGTATAAAGGGAACATTTTTGAACAAAAATCCGCAGAGAAACCGACTCAGTAACATTTTTCCCGCGGGAGCGGTCTCAACACATGAATTCGAAAATTTGTATTAAACATGACGGACGTCTTCCTCGATAATGTAGATTAACAACCAGTTCTCAGGAACTAAGAAAAAGCTTCAGTCTATCTCCAATACTCTTCAAAATCTACCTGATTGAGGCAATGCAAAAATGGAGATCATTTTCTGAAATGGGTATACCATTCATCAATCAGCCAATCGCGTCCACTGCTGGACATAGGCCTCCCTCAGTTCTTTCCAGTGTTCTCTACACTGGGCCGCTTGTAGCCAGTTTCCCGCTACACGTTTTATATCATCGGTCCATCTAGTCGGTGGTCGTCCTCGGCTTCTTTTATAGTTTCTGGGCCTCCATTCCATAATACGTCTTGTCCACCGTCCATCTTGTGCTCTGGCTAAGTGCCCTGCCCAGTTCCACTTAAGCGACGTGGTTCTTTCGATGACGTCTTGAACTCCTGATCTTTGCCTGATTTGTTGGTTTGTTATGTGGTCTCGAAGGCTCACGTTCAGCATTGCACGTTCCATGGCTCGTTGCGTAACTCTGAGTTTATTCGCAGATTTTTGCGTGAGTGTTAAAGTCTCCGCTCCATAAGTTTGTACAGGTAAAACACATTGGTCATAAACCTTTCGCTTGAGACACATGGGAATTGAACTTTTTAGAATATGGCTTAATTTGCCAAATGCTGCCCAAGTTAGGCCTATTCGCCTCTGTATTTCATGTGTTTGATTGTCTCTGCTTATTTTGATTTCGTGTCCCAGATATTTGTAAGTGTCTGTTTGTTGTATGTTATTATTGTCAATAGTTATATTTCCACTCATTACGAGATTTGTTATAAGTTTAGTTTTCTCAAAGTTTATCTTTAATCCTGCTCTTTCAGACAGACTTTTAAGCGAATGCATCATAGAAACTGTATCTTGTAAATTATCTGCGATTAATACAACATCATCTGCAAATCTTAGGTGGTTTAATCTTTCTCCATCTATATTGATGCCCATATCTTGCCATTGAGTGCTCTTAAATATTGACTCTAGAGCTGCCGTGAACAATTTTGGTGAAATATTGTCTCCTTGTCTAACTCCTCGACCTAAGCTGAATTTTTCTGTGTCTTCGTGTAGTCGTATACTTGATGTAGCGTTCTCGTAGATGTTTTTGATTAGTGTCGTGTACCTGTAATCTATTCGGCTTTGATTTAGGGCTTCCAGTATTGTTTCAAACTCTACAGAATCAAAAGCCTTCTCGTAATCGACAAATGCAAGAACCAGTGGTATGTTGTACTCGATGCACTTTTCTATTAAGATCTTTATGGTATGCAAATGGTCATTTGTGCCATATCCTGCCCTGAAGCCTGCCTGTTCTTTGGGCTGATAGAAATCAAGTTTAGGTGTTAGCCTCTTTGTTAAGATTTTCATAAAGAGTTTGTACATATGTGTCAAGAGGCTGATGGGTCTATAATTTTCTAATTTAGTAATATCGCCTTTTTTGTGTAACAAGACTATTACTGCATTGTTCCAGTCTTTTGGAATCGTACGCGCATGTAAGCATTTATTGAACAGTTCGCTTACTGATTTTAATAAAATTTCTCCTCCTGCTTTTATTGCCTCGATAACGAGTCCATCATCACCAGGCGATCGATGGTTCTTCATTTCCTTTAAAGCTGCTCTTACTTCTGACACAGTAATGGGTAAAAAGTATTTCCGATCCCTGATTTATGAGAGTCTTTACTCATGTCGGGAAATTGGTCATTGGCTGGTATAGAGGTCTTTATAAAACTCTCTGGTTATTTTCAGAATGTTTTGTTTATCTGTTGTTGCCTTTCCGTCTTTATCTCTCAGCGTGTATATTTCTTTTTTACTTTGTGTGAGTTTTTTTTTCATTATCTTTAAACTTTTGTTCTCTTTTACTGTTTGAGTAATTACATTAGTATTATATCTTCTTACGTCTTTTCTAATTTTCGCTGAAATTCTTTTATTTAGTTTTTTTATATTCTTCTTTGTTTCCCTTTTCGTTCTCGCTTAGGTTTCTTCGTATTTCCATGAGAGCTTTTGTATTTTTGCCAATCTTTTCACTTTTCCTGTCATTTTTTTTAATTAATTAAATTTTAGTTTAATTAATTAATTAATTTTTTTTTTGCAAAATTTGAGTTGTGCGTTTCTAACCGAGCCTGATATTAATGTATTGTGATCGTCGATACTTAGAGGTTTGGGATTATTACTCTGTAAAGTTTCGGCTATATTTTTTATGTATGCTTCTGGATGATTTGGTGAATTCCAAACTATGCGTTTGCAACTGTTTATCATCTTTGCTCTTTCTTTTTGTAGATTTATCGTTACTCTAGCTCTTACTGGTCTGTGGTCGCTTCCTACTGATAGTTTATTGAGTACAGTGACATCGTGAATAATTTGCTTTTTGTCTGTTATTATATAATCATATTCGCTCTTAGTTCTTCCGTCTGGACTAGCCCACGTCCATTTTCTATTGTGTTTCTTCTTAAAAAAGGTGTTCATTGCATACAGTTTGTGTTGCAGTAGAAAGTTGGTAAGCATTTCGCCTCTTTCGTTTCTTACTCCGATTCCAAAATCTCCGATTGCCACTTCTTGTTCGTCCTTTTTCCTTCCGAGCTTCCCGTTAAAATCTCCCATTATCAGATTGTAATGAGCCGGTTCCTGCTTTTTTGTTTTTTCTATATACGCTTTATATCGAAGAAGAAATACCCAAGCGGAAGTAATAGTATAAAGACCATAGAGTTATTTTGGACACATGAGCACAAGGAAAAGGTATCGGGAGAATTAATACATCGCGATGTGAGAATCAAATAAAGGACATTCTTGGTTATAATTTGTTGTATGCAAAACAACATCCACAAAGAAACGGACGAATGTCCAGTAATAGTCAACCGAATAGTACGACCTCTCTATATTCGTACGAATAATCAAAGATAAAGCATTATCATAAATTGGTATTTATATTACTATTTAGATAAGGATACAATATACCAGAATTCACTAGAGGTTCTATTTTTTAATTATCTTCTTCCATTATATCAGCCAGTGATTGATGCACTCTCGTTTCAAACGCAGATTCTAGCTCCGCCACTTCAGATAAAGGCATTACTTTTAACAATTTTGGAACTTTCTGTGTTTGAATCCGTTCAATTATTTCGTCTCGTATATCTTCGTTCTTAGTCATTCTCTTGGTTCTTATCAGTATCATTATTTTGGAAATCAACCCCAAATAGTCTATTTGACTTCCAGATCTATCAAATATTTGATTTTCGATTTCTTTGCCACTTAGCTCCACTGGCGATATCAGACAGCGAAGTTCGTGATCAAATTTATTGACCACACTTTGGCGGAATGTCAGAGTTTTCCAATTTTCTTGATGGGACATTATTCTGCTTAAAAATACAGTATAATTGGATTAAAAATATATGGCTTTGACACTTAAATGGCATAAACATTCGAACTTTGTTATTTTAAAATTTCCTATATCTATTGGTCGTACACTAATTTATTTATTAGTACGAGCTTTCAGCGTAGTTGACTCTTTTTATGTAAATGTTTATGTATTGGATATACAGTTTGATTTATATGCACAATATTAACATGAATATAGATGTGGTCGAATGCATATTCAAATTATAGCATCAATGGAACAAATACAGAAAAAATATTTTTTTCCTCTGGATTTTCTCACAGAATCATGTTATTATATAGCCATATTTTTAAAGGTCATACTAAATTTTATGTAGGCTGTATTACTATCATTTTACTTACTATTCGTGGCTTTTTTAGAGCTTATTCCAAATGTCATTGAGTCTCCGGTTTACCTCATCCGAATCACCAATTCTCTTTGTCATATATATCTTCTTCAGTGAGATCTCTTTTTTTTATTGCTACTTTTTAATGATTAATATATTTTAATGATGATAATTGGTAAACAATATTTGTCTGAACAGCTAGATCTTTTTGATGCCACTGTATCTGCTCTATTTTTTAATTAATGTTAGGAGAAGTGCTGTAACGTTCCTTGATGTTTCTCTGTATTTTCTTTTTTGTCTATATAAATCTACTTGCCTCTGCGTGAATGTATGAAAAATTATGTCGATAGGTTGCGTCAATAGTTGCAAACAATTACGTCAGTAGGGTAGCTACAAAGCTCCAACAGGATAAGCGCAAAACATTTACAGGTTAACATAATTTCTTAATTTAAAATTTTTTGAAAATGATTTTCGGATTGGAAATCAAAATGCCAAAACAAAAGAAAATGTAATTTTTATTACAATCAATTGTGATTTACTCCCATATACATGACAAAAGATACCTACTAATTTTTAATAAAATAATTCAATAAAAAAAAAATAAAAGTCGAAATAACGACTGCGTTGCAGTTGTGGAATTGCCCAATTAGTTTACGTTGTTAGATTTCGTTTTTGTCAATGAGTCATCCTCTTCAAATTATTGTTTGACTAGACACAGTTAGTCTAGGTTCTTTCTTCTTTTTCGTCTAGCCATTCACGTCCACATCTGAACATAAGCCTCTTCAAGTCTTCCTTTCCATTGTTTTTTATTGTACGCTACTTGTAGCCAATTTTCCCGGCAGTCCTTTTCAGATCATCTGTCCATCTCATAGGAGGCCTGCCTCTGGGTCTTTTGTGTTGGTATGGTCTCCAGATTAAAATTGATCTGTGCCATTTGTTTAGATCGCTCCTAGCTACATGTCCAGCGTATTCCCATTTCAACTTTAATGATTTTTGCACCACATCGGTGACTTTGGTTTTCTGTCTTATCCATGTGTTTGTTTTCTTGTCCTTAAGTAATATACCTAGCATTGCTCTTTCCATCGCCATACTATCTACATACGCCATACATCTACCACATCTAGTCTAGGTTAGGGTTTAAAAATTGGGGAGAAATCAGCTGATTACTTATGGGTTTGTTTTTTGTCGAATAGTCTATCAGGCAATCTGTGGGGATCAGAGGGCCAGTAGCTTAGTTCTCCAGTTAACAAGTGACTATCGTTTTTGTTTGTGATGATCTTAAGTAGATTTCTACCTTTTGCTATGTTTCTGGAGCCCTAATTGGTATGCTTGGTGTTCCAGACTTCTTCTTAACGTGCCCTATCAAGTCCCCTTGACGTTGGCGATTAACATGGCGAAACTGTCTCTGTCTCGAGCTATTCTAAAGAGTTGCTCAGCTTTCTTTATTCCTGTCCACTCTCTGATATTCTTCAACCAAGAGGCCTGCTTTCTACCAATTCCTCTGCGTCCTTCGATTTTACCCATCATAATAAGTTGAAGAATATTATATCGGTCTCCCCTTACTACGTGTCCAAAATAGGCCAACTTTCTACATTTGATGTTATCAAGCAGCTCGCGAGCAGCATTTGCTCTCTCAAGGACTGCCACATTTGTCAGCATAGCCGTCCATGGAATTTTTAGTATACGTCTGTGCAGCCACATTTCAAAGGCCTCCAGACGATTAATGGTGGATATTTTTAATGTCCATGCTTCGACACCGTATAAGAAGACTGACCAAATGTAGCATTTAACCATACGCTTTCGAAGTTGAAGTTTCAAGTTATCATTACATAAGAATGACCTCATTTTTAAAAATGTCGTGCGGGCTATCTCGATTCTACATTTTATCTCTTGATCTGGATCTAGTTGTTCAGTAATATGGCAACCAAGATATTTAAAACTGGACACTCTTTGAATTATATGACCATCAACATATAATCGTGCATCTTGATGTGCTAAACGGCTAAATACCATGTGTTTTGTTTTTGAACAGTTTATGTTTAGGCCAAACTCTCTTCCCACTGTATCAATGGCATTTAAAAGGCATTGTAATCCATTCATGTCATCACTTAAAATAACTATATCGTCTGCATATCTGATTGTATTTATCAGAATTCCATTAACTTTCACGCCCCATTCCAAATTATGCAGCGCTTCTTTAAATATTCTATCTGAATATAAATTAAATAACAGTGGGGATAGAAGACAACCCTGTCTGACACCTCTTTCAATAAATACAGCAAAGACGTCTTTCCTTTGATCTCGACATTTCTGCAGTAATACATTTAGTGCAAAGAGGACGTCCCGAGATCCCAGTCCATTTCTGAAGCCAAATTGTGTTTCATCCTGATCTTCACATTTATCTCTGAATCTACTGTGAATAATGCGTAGAAATATTTTCAAAGTGTGGCTCATAAGGCTTATCATTCTATAATCGCTACAGTTTTTCGGACGTTGTTTTTTTTTGGTAGTGTTATGAATTCGGACTTTAACCAATCTTCAGTCTTCCAGACTCCTCCAGCCAAAAACATGTTTCACATTGAGTTCAACAGTTCTTCATATTATTCTCTACTGATATTACTCCTAAATGGACTGTAGGTGGCATATATTGTAAGTTGTCTTGATATAGCCTTTATTTGTAGTATTGTTGTTTGGATTTTGTTTGTTTGGGTATGAACTTAGTTCAGTTACTCATGTAGTATTATGTTTGATATAATAATTGCAGGCTCATCATGACATGTTTCATCTGGGTGATTTGTTTGGTCCACTTTTTAGTGAGATATCGTAGGTCTCCGTACAAAACTCTGTCACCTCAAGAATCACATGAACAAAATCGGAGTGACAGAAAGTGCGAATTGCAGATTATGTTAAGCAGATGACGAGACAAGGTAACACGTTCTCTGCAACTGCAAAGGGTTGGATAGAATAAGGCTCAATAAGACAAGTTTAACATAGAAATGAGCCACAATATATTTCTTTTTCTCATAGACTTTAACGCGTAACCACTCTTGATCGAGTGGGAGGGTGGTTAAGCGTTCACTTATATTGAACATAACCTAATCTGTGGCTAGGTAGAATGTATGTGCTAGCTACAGTAAGTGGACTTGATTGAGAATTTATTTGTAGTATTGTTGCTTGGAATTTGTTTCTTGGGTTTGAAGTTAGTTCATGGTGTAGTTCTTATTGTGTTTTTCTTTTACAAATTGGAGTTCTACCATTAGATGTTTAATTTGGTTGATTTGTTTGATCTACTTTGTAGTGAGCTATTTACAATACTGAAGTGTGTTTACAACATAGTATAACATGAATCGTGTTAATTTACTTCTTATTCTTCTTCTAGTGCCGTCTCCACTAATAAAGTTTGGCTATAACCATTGCAAATTGTCTCCATCTTCTGCTTTTCTTAAGAACGTCTGTATGTTTAACCCTGTCCAGTCGCGAATGTTTTTCAGCCAGGATATTTGTCGTCTACTAGGACCCCTTTTTCCTTCGATTTTACCCTTCATAATCAGCTGCAACAACTCGTACTTATCATTTCTAAGTATGTGCCCCAAATATGCTGTCTTTCGCCTTTTAATGGTGGTCAAAAGTTCTCTGTCTCTTCCCATTCTGTGCAACACTATTTCGTTCGTAATATGATCGGTCCATGGTATCTTCAAAATTCTCCTAAAAAGCCACATCTCAAAAGCTTTCAGTTTTCTCATTAAGTCAACATTAACAGTCCAGGCTTCGACACCATAAAGAAGAATAGAGTGGATATAACATTTTACCATCTGATATCGGATTTGCAGATTGAGTCTTGGTTACTCAGAAATTTCCTCATCTTCAAAAAGGCTGCTCTTGATTGCTCTATTCTTGAGCGAATTTCTGATTTCGGATTTAGATCTTCCGTAATCCAGACTCCTAAGTATTTAATTTTGTCTACTTGCCCAATATCTTCATTTTTTATCTGAATCCTTGTAATGACTTTGCCCCCCTTACTGATAACCATGATTTTTGTTTTCTTTATGTTTATTGTTAATCCAAACTGTTCCCCAGTATCACAAATTGTGTTTAGTCACGCCTGCAGGTCTGTCTCACTTTCAGTGATAATAACTGTGTCGTCAGCATAACGGATGTTATTTATATTTTCACCATTTATCTTGATCCCTTCTGTATAGTTTTCAAGTGCTTGCGTAAATAACTATTCTTCGAAATATATATTAAATAGTAATGGTGAAAGTACACAGCCCTGTCTTACTCCTCTACTTACCACAGCCTGTTGGTTCCAATAGATATTTCTCACTATGTTAATATCATTTTTGTTGAGTCCTTTTCTCTTTAGATATCCCATGAGAATGTTATGTTTAACTTTATCGAAAGTTTTCTCAAAGTCTATAAACGCAACGAAAAGATATTTTTGTTGGTCTCGACGTTTTTGGGCAAGAATTGTGAAACTATACCAGGGGTGGCCAACCTTTTTAAGTCGAGTGCCAATATGAGAACAAAAAAAATTTGGCGTGCCACTAAAATTTTTTGACATACTAATATGGACACTATATATTAATAATATACGGTACAATATGTATTTCTTATGTAAATTCCACATTTTTCCGTTTAGTCAAGATAGTGAAGGTTTAAAAAATAACGTAATAAGTAAAACATAACAACAAACTTACTTTATTGATAATAAAAATAAAATAAAAAC